GAGCCCCCCCCGAGGCTCTCCCACCCCCCCCAGCCCCGCAATGTGGGCGGGTCAGGACTATGCTAATGAGTCAACAATCCCCGCCCCCTGTGGTTGCCATGGTGACCGCCGCGGGGAACTCAGCGGGAACACGCCGAGATCATGAATATGCAAATATGCGAGCCCCCCCCGAGGCTCTCCCACCCCCCCCAGCCCCGCAATGTGGGCGGGTCAGGACTATGCTAATGAGTCAACAATCCCCGCCCCCTGTGGTTGCCATGGTGACCGCCGCGGGGAACTCAGCGGGAACACGCCGAGATCATGAATATGCAAATAAGGGGCGGAGCCCACCAGCTAAAGCCCCGCTAATTATGCCCTCATTTGCATGCAGGACACCTGGGCCCCAAACTGGCCTTGGGTTCTCCACCCTGCCTAAAGCCTGGGGGGCCCGGGGGGGGTCACCTGTGTCCCTTCCCATGGTGGGGGGGGGCTGCAAATACCTGGCCCCCCCCCCCACACCTGTGTCCATTCCCATGGCGCGGGGGCTGCAAACCCCGGACCCCTACACCTGTGTCCCCCCATGGTGGGGGGGCTGCAAACCTCAGACCCTTCCCACACCTGTCCCCCCCCTGTTGGGGGGCTGCAGACGTGGGTTCCCCCCCACACCTGTGTCCCTTCCCATGGTGAGGGGGGGCTACAAACCCCAGACCCCCCCCGCCCTTTGTCCCCCCCATGTTGGGGGGCTGCAGATGTGGGTTTCCCCCCACACCTGTGTCCATTCCCATGGCGGGGAGGCACACCTGTCCCCCCCCTGCTGGGGGGCTGCAAATACCTGGCCCCCACCCCACACCTGTGTCCCTTCCCATGGTGCCCACCTGTGCCCTTTCCCGCAGAGCTGCCACACACACCTGCGTCCCCTCCCAGGTGGGCACCGCCCCCCGTCCTTGGGCCGGGCTATAACCTCCCCCCGAGCCCCCGGCCCGGCCCGGGAGGCGACAGCGATGGCGTGGGCGCTGCTGGTGACGCTGCTGGCGGCCGCGCTCGGCCGCGTTTCGGAGGCGCAGTGCCCCACGGCCGCCGAGCTGCGCCCCGCCAACGGCACGCGGCTGTGCGCGCTGCTCTACGCCGACAACAGCCCCTACTACGAGCAGTGCTGCGCCGGCGACGCGCTGCCGGTGCCGCCGGACAGCGACGTGCCCTACATGCCCCGCAGCTGGGCCGGCCGCGTCTCCTCGCTCGTGGTGGGCACCCGGTGCGAGCTGACCGTGTGGTCGCGCAAGGCCAAGAAGGGCAGCACGCGGCGCTTCAGCGCCGGCGCGGTGCCGCGGCTGCAGGAGGTGCGGCGCGGGCTCTTCGGCGACTGGAACGACGCCATCCGCGCCTTCTACTGCACCTGCAAGTGAGCGGCGGCGCGGGGCGGCGGCACGGGGGGCACGGCGGGCAGCGGGAGGTGCCAGCGTGGGCCAACGTGGGTCAGGATGTGCCAGCGCGGGTCAGGATGTGCCAACGCGGGCCAACGTGGGTCAGGATGTGCCAACGCGGGCCAACGTGGGTCAGGATGTGCCAACGCGGGTCAGGATGTGCCAGCACGGGTCAGCCTGAGCCAGCGTGGGTCAGGATGTGCCAACATGGACCAACGTGGGTCAGGATGTGCCAGCACGGGTCAGGATGTGCCAGCGCGGGTCAGCCTGAGCCAGCGTGGGCCCAACCACCCCCGAGCTGGCCGAGAGGCGCTGCTGTGAGCCAAGACGAGCCGACACAAACCAGCGCCGCAACGCGAGCCAGCCCTGGCCAAGATTCACCATCAGGTGCCGACCCAGGCCAAGCCAAGCCAAGCCTGGCCAACGCGAGCCAAGCCGGGCCAAGGCGGCGCGAGACCCTGCCCCCCGTGCAGCCAATAAAGCCCTGCGGCAGCAGCAGCTCCTGCCTGGGGGGTCCTTTATTGGGGGGGGGTGTCCCCATGTCCCCCCTACCCCCTGGGCACGTGCCCCCCGCCCCCCAAAGAACCACACGGCACACGGCGGGTCCAAAAGGACACGTGTAATCTGGGGGGGGCCCCGTGTCCCCCCGGGGCCCCCCCGTCCCGCGCGGTACAAAACCCGACCATATAAATATCACTTTGTTAAAAAACAAAACCGGGGGTGCAGGGGGGAGTTCCAGGGGGAGGAGGAACCAACCAAAAAAAACCCCAAAATCAACAAAAACAGGCGAGGAAGGTCCAGGGGGGGACACACCCCGAATCAGTAGTGTGGTGTGGTGGGGAGAGGGGGGGGGCTGTAGTTTTGGGGACCCCCCCCTCTCACGGAGATGATGTAGGGGGGCCATACCCCAGTGCCCAAAGTGGGTAGAAAAGAGGAGGCTAAAAAAAAAAAACAAAAAAAGGGGAAAACGCCCCAAAATGGGTCCCAATGGCGGGAGGGACCAGGATGAGCCCATGCACCCCCAAATCTCTGGGGTGACGGCCACCCCTCCCCTCTCCCCAAAATCTCTGCTGTGGGGTCCCCAGCTCAGTAGTACAGGTTGGGGGGCCGGTGTCCCCCAGAACATCCCAGTCCCGCTCCAGTTTGGGGGTGCTGCCGAGGAGGAGGAGGAGGAGCAGGAGGGGGCCGGGGGGCTCCCCCGGGGTGGGGGGGGGTCTCACCGCAGCCGGTGCTGCCGCATGAGGGGCACGATGCAGGCGGGGGGGGGCGCCCCCCCCCC